TCAAATACAATTAGATTATTAATTGTTGTTATTACAATAAATATTATTAATTATTATTCTTTATATTTTATTATTTTTTTTTTCATTGACTTAATAAAACTTAAAATTAAGAAATATTCTAAATTAAAATTAATTTATTGTTATAAATATTAAATAATAACAATTAATAAACAAATTTTCTTATAAAATATTTCTTATAATGAATAATAATATTTAATAATATTTATTGTTATTACTATGATAAAAAGTATAAGTGAGTTTCTTAAAAATATTAATAGTATGACTATGCTTCAAAATAATTTAAAAATGTTATTGTAAACATTATAAAATTTCTATATAGTCGGTATTTCAATATAATCGGGATTTTCATATAGTCGGGATTTCGATACAGTCGGGATTTCGATATAAACCCAAGAAATTAGGGGTCGATTTTTTTTTATTTCAAATAGTCGAAGTAGAGTTATATAAATCCTGGTATAGAGAAAAAAAAACTGATTATTTATAAACACCAAAAATATTTTTTAAAATTTAGTTTCTTTTTGAAACATTTAAATTGGTCTATAATGAATCCTAACTAAATTTTAATTGAGCAATATAAAAATAAATTCTAAAAAAATATTTTTTTTAAATAGTTAAATGTCTCTGTAATATGAAAGGTTTAATATTCAACGAACTTAAAAAATCTTCGAGAAACGCAGTGATGTTTATTTTATAACCGAATTTCAATCTAATATAAAACGCTGGTTACCTTGCTTGGACTTTCTTCAGTTTGATGCCGTGATGATCCAAGAATCGCTCGTTGATGTCACTCAAAGACAGGTCGACTGCTGGACCAACTCCTTTCAAATCGAAAGAAGAATTGAACATCGAAGACATCAAAACACCGACATTGTAGTATTGTGGCGTTGCTTCCGTCGCAATTACAAACCAAAGAACAAGTGAGAGAATACACTTAAGTATTCTCTTCATCGCAGCCCTACTGCAAAAACAAAAACAGAAAGCAAAAGTTTGATTAACTTCTAATCTTTTTTATTTTCTTGGAGCAAAATAATAATTTTACATTATGATAGTAATTTCATTTAATCTCAGCTATCAATTAAAATCAACCAAGATGTGTTGCTTATATTTTATATAAAATGAAAAAAACAATAATTGGATCGCAAATTTAATTGAAAACAATTCGAAAGTAAATTGTTGTTTTTGGTAATTTCAGAAAATTTAAATTGATCATTTAATTTATAGTTGGATTTAAGCTTACCTTCGAGTATATCGGGAGAAGCGCGGATAAACTGCACTTGTGAACGTGTTGACGTTCTTGATGCGTTTGTGTCGACGTCGCGACGCTCTGCAACCACCTGCAGCGCGTCTGCGTCGAGAACATCTCGCAGCGCATCCTCTATAATTAATTATGTTCAGCCTCGAGCTTTAGACGGCCCCCAATAAAAAAATGCCAATTTTTTACATTTTTTATTTACTTTACGTATGGCACATCTATATTGTATCATATTATTTTTATAACATAACTTATGAACTGAAAACAGATTTTAGTGTAAATCATTTGTTTATAAGTTATTTTTTAGCCAAATTCATATCTTTGAAACAAATTGATTTCTTGCAATACGTCCTATTCTAGGTTAATCTAGGTAAATAGAAAGTAACTAAACTAAAATTACTATTGACTTCAGTGGAAAGACTGAGAAATAATATTGATGGACAGAATAGGCAGAAGAAAATATGAGTAATGTAATGTGGTGACCGTCAATATTCGTGTACCTTGTATATGTTAATTGTATCATTAGCAAGTAGTACATTTTTTTCATTTTTTTTTTCAGGAATTACAAATCGTAAAATTCGCAAAAAATTACACTCTCTAATTAGAAGTATTTCATATAAATTATAATGTATTGGTAATAAGCAATAAGAATACAATTAATTAAGATTATTATATTTACTTAAAATATGGATATTTTATAGAAAGTTTAATACAATGTATGTGTTCTTCGTATTGTGACGTTCCCACAGAATTAAACAATCAGTAGACTAAAGAAGCAAGAGTTTTCGAAACGATCAAAGCAATTAATATGTGTAACTTGAATATTCCTTCATGGAATTACATTTTTAGCTTATTTCAGTATCGAGATTTTAAACATCTCCAAAAGTTTTTATCTACACAGTCGTTGTCTGAATTAATTTTATTTATTTGATATACGATATAAACAAAATTAATTCAGAGAACCGAATTTGTTTCATAAACCTCTTCTACCTTTATGATTTTTTTTTAAATTTACCTTATTGAAACTGTCTCCTCGCAGAGACTGAGCATATTCTACTATCGATCGACTTCGTTGTGCGTTGGTTTAATTTAATTTCCGACTTGAACTGACTCTGACCTTTCGATCAGACGTTTAATATTTGCGGCTTTTAATCCTTTGATATAATAATATATGAGTTTAATTACAATCTAACATTTTTTTTGTTTATTTCTGTTTTGTAATTAATTAACTATTTCTTACAAATCTCAAATGTAATTTTAGTATATTTTCCGTGGTCGGTATGTGAAGTTTGCGACAAATCATGATGATTCAAAAAGTATATGGAGACATCAAATTTTCTGTTTGCTTGGAAAAGAATGTAACAACGCTAGCGATCCGCAATCTCGCTAGCAAGAACAACTTCCAATAACGAGAGTTAACAGAGTTTGTTTATGCAATCCTTTGTGTTTCAGCTTTGTTGCTCTCGCACATACAGGAAAGGTAAAAATCAAAGAGCGTGTGCGTATCCCTAACACGTGCAGATAATATGCATGTTTATATTCTTCGACATATGTATGTCGGATATTTAGAGAATTAAAGTCGCGCGCGAATTTTCTTTTGAAGAAATACAAAGGATAAATATGTTTTCAAATGGTAAAAGACTGAAATGATAAAAATAGTTTCGCATTTAATAAGAACACACGAAAATCTAGAATTATTGATTGAATATGAATACAGTTGAACTTGCAGGATTGTTTTGAAATTTAGAAAATTTAAAAAAATAAATCAAGTAACAGAAAAACATAATTTTAAAAATTAATAATCGAGTTTTGTTATTATCATCATGATATTAGTCGTTTTGTGATCTTTGTCAATCTTCGGTTGCCTCATGTGTACTTTGTACCTACCTAAAATATTGGGAATCTCTCCTAAAGTTCGTGAGCCACCGTCTGTCCACTCCTGATTTAGTATAACAATATAGCTTATACTGGTACTCCTCACTTTACGACCTATCTAATTAAACGGTGGCAATCGCAAGCCCGACAACCGAAATCCCGTCTTTCGAAATTCCAAGTGTATTGAAATCCCAAAGTTCGAAATCCCGGCTGGCTCAAAATCCCGACGTTCGATATCCCGACTATATCGAAATTCCGACTATATCAAAATTCCGACTATATCGAAATCCGGACAATCTAAAACTTAATAAGATTATTAATTGTTGTTATTTATTATTAATAACAATAAATTATTATTAATTTATTTGATTTTGTTTAATTATTCATAATAAACCTGAAATTTAAGAAATATCTATTGATTTATTGCTATTAAATAATAAAAATTTATATCATTTTAATATGTTAATTTATTATATATAGTTTATTTATTTATTTAATGTAAATTATCATAATGGCTAATGACCTAGTTTTCGATGCCTCCAAATCCAAAAAATAATAATTTACGATCATTTCTTATAGTTAGGTTTTATAATGAATAAGTCAACGAAAATAATTACAATAACAATGATTATTATTTATTGTTATTAATACTAAATAGTCAGGTAAATTTTATTTATTATTTTAATTAGGTTTCTATGTTATATTGTATTGTATATGTATTGCTAATAAATTATTATTATTATTTATTAACTTATTTTCTTTTTTTTTTTATAAAAACACTGTTTTCTTTAAATTTTATAATTATTTTTTTTTGAAATTTTTTGAGTATCCGTCGCCGACTTGACTGTCGCTGTGTTGGCAGGTGCCTAGTTGACCATCGCCGACTTGTCCATCGCCGAGCTGTCGCGTACCCTTTTAATACAACAATTAACCAAGTTGCGTTCTCAAATAGAGAAGAAACGTATTTTACCGTTGATCTGAAAATGAGTTTTTCTCTTTCATTGGCAGCATATGGAAAATCCATAAATGGCTTCGATTACTTGAAATAGATTTTGTGCACTTGCTTACTACCAAGTTAATGTTCAATGCTGCCTTTTAAATTGTATTATCTTGTGCACTCACAAGATAGTTGACAGACGCGAGTTTGATAATGTATCCCTATATAGTAATAATTACATTTCCCCTTTTAGTAAAGTATCAACCAATTTCTTATTTTTTAATTTAATAAGAAAGCTCTTATGATACAACAAGGCATACGCTTTCAACACAATATACAAGTTAATATGATTAATTATCTGATAATTGCTTAAAAGAATCTACTGTATACGAATATTTATATACTGAGGTCGATCGAACAATGAAACCAGATTTTATATTCAACATAATTTAGTATTCCTAAGAATTTTCAATACTTTATACACTCCACTCCACTGGCAGAATGATAGCCTTGTTAACGTCGGATGTATTTTTCTCTTGTTCATGAAAATTATTTGCGCCTATAATTACATATCTATGAAATGGCAGATTAACCGGCAAGGAATAGAAGTACTTACGGCCGTGTCGTTCTTGTTCCATTTCTGCAACCTCTCCAATATACCGGAAGTGACAGAGAGCTCGCTTGCCGAAGCAAACTGACATCAAAATAATAGTCATCAATCAGATCTCAATACTTTTATTCAGAAGAGACAAAAAAGTGAAAAAATACCAAGACAAAAACAAGTTGAACATTAATATAATTTTCAATTGTGTAAAACAAAAATGGTGTACATTAATTTGAATACGTATAACGTGAACATTATTAAAAGTTCGTGAAAATTTAAGAAATTGTGTATTTCCATCTCGTATTTAAATATTTATAAATATTAGATGAAATGTATTTAAATCAATACGAGCTCAATTATTAGAAAAAAAAGTATTGAAGTTTACCCACTATAGTTTTTAATATAAAGATCCAAACTCGAACATATTTTCGGTGAATTCATTTGATATTATAATTTCAAAAACAACAAAATGATTACATTAAATTAAACTCACTTAATCTCCCATTCCAGTGATTATTGTAATATTCCAAAATCCGGCAAGACTCGCAATAGGTTCCAATGAAAACATGCAAGCAGGTCCGATAATAGCAATCACGTTATCCCTGAAATTCATATAGGCTTCATGTCCAGAAGCTTTTGCACCGCTGCACGCTGGATAACTAAACGCCGATTATGTAAATCCCTTTTTCCTATATTTTAATCATTTTTTACTACTACAGATTATACACTATACGCATATAACTAATGGAGCGTAAGACATTTTCTTCATCTATTGGTCTTATTGCTACACTTTATAATTACATATACAATACTGAAATTAAAGTGTGTTTTCAATGACGTATGTTCAAAATAAAAAAAAAATCCTGTAGAATAATTGGAATAAGTATAATTGTAATAAATTTATATATCAATGGTCGCTAAAGTAGTTCCTGCAAAGAATTTTTTAATTTCTCACGGGAACCATTTTTGAGCTCTAAAATACTCGTTGATAAAATATTAAACTATCTGAAACATATAAAAAGTTTGGTTTGGCCTTTCTTAAAATATGCATACAACTATTTTTTGTATTTACTTTTCTAAATATTCTATATTTACTGAGAAAAATTTGTAACCTAGCTTAACTAATGGGACCGGCCAACTATAGCGATTAAAAAATAAAAAATTAAACAATCAATACAAAATAATTTTCCTTATTTAAATGATTGAATACAAAGATACATAGAAAGTATTGATACTATTTTTTCAAGTTGGATAATATATTAAAGAAGCATGGATTCCATGTTGTAAAATTGGCAATCGATTCTCGGCCCTAATGAAATTGGAGTTAATGAAAAAAAAATTTAATTATTTTATTTATTTTTTAAACCAAATAATTCATATGAAATTAATATAAATCCTTAATAACTAAATTGTAAATACAGTGAAACCTCACATAACGAGCATAATCTGTTCCAGAATTTTCGGATTTTTACTCGTTAATACTTTTATAGTGAAACATTTTTTCATATATAAACTAATCTAAAATACGACAACTCGGCAACTAACAAGTGGGCAACGTTCAATTGGACACCTGCCAACTCGGCGACGGTCAAGTCGGCGACGGATACTCAAAAAAATATTTTTAAGAAACTCACTTATAATTATTACTATATTAATAATAATAAGTTATTGCGTAAATAATATAATATAACATAAAAACTAAATTAAATATATATATTGTACACCAATATATTATTAACGTATTTGTTTTCGTTGACTTATCCATTATAAAACTTAAAATTAAAAAATAATCTAAAATATAATAAGATTATTAATTGTTGTTATTTATTATTAATAACTATAAAATATTATTAATTTATTTGATTTTGCTGAATTATTCATAATATACCATAACAATAAGAAATAAACCAAAATACAATTAGATTATTAAATGTTGTTATTAATAACAATATATTATTATATTTGTTTTCATTTACTTATTCATAACAAACTTTAAAATTAAAAAATATTCTAAATTCAAATTAATTTATTGTTATTAATATTATATAATAACACTTTCCCGGTGGATAGTTATCATTATGATGATTTGAACATTAATAATTACTTCAATCTATATACTAAATCTAGTGGTTTGCAACGCTTGAGCCTGTTTGTGGTTTCACTGTTGTCGAGTAGGCCAATATCTACCATATCTATTCCTGACGAACCATGGAGCCCTAATAATATTTCTTAGGCATTTTGATTGGAACCTTTGTATAATTTGTATGTTCGAAAAATAATCACGCAAATTTTATTTAATATTTTAAATATATTTGAATTTAATATATTATATTATTTTTTTGCTAATAAATTATTATTATTATGTATTTACTTATTTATTTTTTATAAAAATACTGTTTTCTTTAAATTTTATATTGAATAGTTTTTAATTTTTTTATGTTATATAATATTTTTTGGCCAATAAATAATTATTATTACAATAATAAATGAGTTTCTTAAAAATACTTTTTTAAGTATCCGTCGCCGACTAGACCATCGCCGACTTGTCCGTCGACCACTTGTTGCAGAGCTGTCACGAACCAGAAAAAAAATAGTATAACTGATCTCGTTTTTTAATGATTTTGCTTTTTATATCTATGGTTAATTTTATTCCTTGGCCTTTGATTAGGAGACATGCAAGTATTATTAAAATTTTCCAAAAAAAAATCACAAATAATATGTCCGAACACAAGTTTGGTTAACATATTCAAAAGATTCTCGTAATATATGTACACAAGTTTTGAAAATGATGTAGCTGGCGCTCAATCCTACAATTCTCTTCTCATTGTCACTCATTATGCGAAACGTCACTCGTTAAGCGAGTCATTTTTGTTACAATTTATTTTGCTCGTTAAGCGAAGTTCCACTGTAAGTGAATTTTCTGTGTAGTAGGCTGAATCCACTTTTGGTAGAAATATTTTGATGGTACATGTTCGATATTTTAACTCCAGATTAAAATAAATGACAGAATAATTTGTTATATCGGAGCATTTGCAAATGTACACAACATATGAATATAAATTTAATTGTTGTGTTTGTTCTTCAAAAGAAAGTATCAAAAAAAAAGAAAAAAAAGGACACAAACAATATTGACTTTTTCGTTACTAGAAGAATTAATTTAACTAATGGAGAATTTGAAATTTAAAATCAATTTACAAACTTTGGAATTGCAATCAAAATAATACGTCAGATTAACAAATTTGATCAAACTATTGCCTTTGGCAAGAAAGTAATTTTGGTTGAAATAGAACATTGTGATAGTTATTTAATTATTTGATTAGTGATATTTAATTAAAAATAGTGATATTTAATCATTTCGTCGTTGTTTGTGTTGTGTTGTTCACAATCAACAGACAGCGTTTTATGTGACATGGATATTGCAACTATTGATTAGTTGTTAGTTTTATCGAAAAACAGCCATAATCATCACATTTATTTTTGTTAATTATATTAATGGTAATTATTTAAAAAAATGACTAAATTATTTTTATATTTAATTCTTCAAGCTTAATGACTATAGATGTCGATGCAAATTTATTAGAAAAAATAATAACATAGACGAAAAGTCTTCCTAATACGGGTATTTAAAGAAAGATATTTGTGGGTCAACAAGAAATGATATAAAAAAATATATTTATGCGATTATATTAATTTAAGTAGCCATACAAAATTTAATACAAATCTGTAAAGCTGTTCAGAAGAAACATTTTTTTAGAGTGAAAAATAACGTGTTTTTTTTTTGTTCCACATTAATATTCCATGATTTTAAAGTTCGAATTTAAATGGTTCCATGGATTTTTTAAATTTCTCTAAAACAAAAATAACTTCTCCGTAACTAAACTACTATAGTAGCGACGTTACTGTTTACATATTTATATATATTCTTCAATAGAAAATAAACTAATATTATCTGAAAACAATTTCATATTGCAATTTATAAATGTTATTGGTAAATTATTTTTTATAATCATGTTTGCGATTGTTCAGTTGACTCTCAATATATAATGATAATTATTTGCTTAATTAAATTTATATTTGAATTAAAATGATTTGTTGTGAATCACAATGAACACAACTTGTTTTTGCAAGTGTTCGTATTGGTTCAAAAACCTGAACGTGGTGGAATATTTTTCTCGTTCCATTATTAAATTGATAATTTGCTTTGTTGATAAATGAAAAACCTAAGTATTGGAAACATGATATTTCAGTGTTGTTTAGTTTCAGTTGTATTTTAATAATATAAAATGCAGGTTACCTTGCTTGGATTTTCTTCAGTTTGATGCTGTGATGATTCAAGAACCGTTCGTTGATATCATTCAAAGCCAAATCAACTGCTTGACCCCATATTTCCAAATCGAAGGGAGAATTCAAGTTCGAAGCCATCAAAATTGAGTGCAACTAAAAAAATCAAGAACACAAAGAAAAAGTTAATAATCAGGATTAGTTAAGGAGGTGATTCTATTGAAACAAAGACAACAAAAATATTTATTAAAAGTTATAATTGAATCGGCAATTTGATTCCATTGTATACTACAAATGTGTACTCAAAGAAATTTTAGAAAATTTAGATTGATGATTTAATTTATTGTTGAATATAAGCTTACCTTATAAATTCGACTTTATCGAGAAAAGCGAGGATGAAGTGAAAGTGAACTGAATTAGTGACCATTTGGTCGTCATCTGTTACGTCGATATCATGACGCTCTGCAATTACCTGCAGCGCGTCTGCGTTGAGAGCGTTTCGCAGCATCTTCTCTGTAATCCACTATAAATAATTATCTTCAAATCGAAGCAAACATCACATGTTTTATGCATACAAACAATATTAAAATATCTTGTGTGCTGCTTGAAATCTTGTGATGTAAACGGCTTCTTCATTCCGTGATGATGATGATTTCCTATATTTATCTGTTCCATAGCTAGTGGGGTTGGGTGGTCTTACAGATAATGCTGGTATTCCGATTGCAGATTTAACCATGATTTTTAGGGTCTGCAGCACAGGGCCCCTTTTATTGTCTACTAAATCAAATACTTGACACCAGGATCAGAACTCATCTCATACTCGACGTTAAGTAAACTCAATATAAAATACAAGTACATATTTCCGTCATTACATAACAAAGCTGCAAGAGCAGAAAGCTTCCCAGAATTATTAAAACTGATAAAAAAAGAACGTTCCACTCGAAAATTCAATAAGCTGGGGCACTAAATAAAAAATATTATTTGAACGGAGTTCGATTCGATAATTCTAACAGCATTATAATAGTAGCAACGCTCGCTAAAATGCGTATAATAAATTTCATCAAAATCGGTCGACTCATTCGAAAAATAAAATAGTTATTTAATTATTTATTTAGTGATATTTAATTAATTATACATTGAATTCCTTGAATTCAGCTCAAAATACACAAAACATTTGTAATCGGACCCAATGAATAGCATGATATTATTTGGTGCAATGTTGCTACGTGTTGTGTTGTTCACAATGAACAGACAGCGTTTTATGTTTTTTTCGTTGCATTTCACATGGATATTGCAAATATTGATTAGTTGTTAGTTATTTCGAAAAACAGCCACAATCATCACATTTATTTTTGTTAATTATATTAATGGTAATTATTTAAAAAAGTGACTAAATTATGTATATATTTAATTCTTCAAGCTTAATGACTATAGATGTCGATGCAAATTTATTAGAAAAAATAATAACATAGACGAAAAGTCTTCCTAATACGGGTATTTAAAGAAAGATATTTTTGTGTCAACAAGAAATGATATAAAAATATATAGTTATGCGATTATATTAATTTAAGTAGCCATACAAAATTTAATACAAATCTGTAAAAATGTTCAGAAGAAACATTTTTTTAGAGTGAAAAATAACGTGTTTTTTTTGTTCCACATTAATATTCCATGATTTTAAAAATATATTGATAAGTTCGAATTTAAATGGTTCCATGGATTTTTTAAATTTCTCTAAAACAAAAATAACTTCTCCGTAACTAAACTACTATAGTAGCGACGTTACTGTTTACATATTTATATATATTCTTCAATAGAAAATAAACTAATATTATTTTGAAAACAATTTTATATTGCAATTTATAAATGTTATTGGTATATTATTTTTCATAATCATGTTTGCGATAGTTCAGTTGACTCTCAATATATAATGATAATTAGTTGCTTAATTAAATTTATATTTGAATTAAAATGATTTGTTGTGAATCACAATGAACACAACTTGTTTTTGCAAGTGTTCGTATTGCTTCAAAAACCTGAACGTGGTGGAATATTTTTCTCGTTCCATTATTAAATTGATAATCTGCTTTGTTGATAAATGAAAAACCTAAGTATTGGAAACATGATATTTCAGTGTTGTTTAGTTTCAGGTTGTATTTTAATAATATAAAATGCAGATTACCTTGCTTGGATTTTCTTCAGTTTGATGCTGTGATGATTAAAGAACAGTTCGTTGATGTTATTCAAAGCCAAATCAACTGCTTGGCCCATCTTTCCAAATCGAAGGGAGAATTCAAGTTCGAAGCCATCAAAATTGAGTGCAACTAAAAAAAATCAAGAACACAAAGAAAAAGTTAATAATCAGGATTAATTAAGGAGGTGATTCTATTGAAACAAAGACAACAAAAATATTTATTAAAAGTTATAATTGAATCGGCAATTTGATTCCATTGTATACAACAAATGTATACTCAAAGAAATTTTAGAAAATTTAGATTGATGATTTAATTTATTGTTGAATATAAGCTTACCTTAGAAATTCGACTTTATCGAGAAAAGCGAGGATGAAGTGAAAGTGAACTGAACTAGTGAACATTTGGTCGTCATCTGTTACGTCGATATCATGACGCTCTGCAATTACCTGCAGCGCGTCTGCGTTGAGAGCATTTTGCAGCATCTTATCTGTAATCCACTATAAATAATTATCTTCAAATCGAAGCAAACATCACATGTTTTATGCATACAAACAATAAGCGATGCTTTAAAATATCTTGTGTGCAGCTTGAAATCTTGTGATGTAAACGTCTTCTTCATTCCGTGATGATGATGATTTCCTATATTTATCTGTTCCATAGCTAGTGGG